TTGGCGTTGGAGATGGCCCCGTGGGGCCAAGAGACGCCACCGTTGACCAGAGAGGTGGCACCTGGGGCACAAGGGACGTCCCCTTTGGCACTGGAGGTGGCCCCGTGGGGACAAGAGAGGCCACCGTTGACGCAAGGGACGTCCCCTTTGGCGTTGGAGATGGCCCCGTGGGGACAGGAAAGGTCTTCGTTGACGCAAGAGAGGCCACCGTTGACAAGAGAGGTGGCACCTGGGGCACAAGGGACGTCCCCTTTGGCACTGGAGGTGGCCCCCTGGGGACGAGAGAGGCCACCGTTGACGTAAGGGACGTCCCCTTTGGCACTGGAGGTGGCCCCCTGGGGACGAGAGAGGCCACCGTTGACGTAAGGGACGTCCCCTTTGGCACTGGAGGTGGCCCCCTGGGGACGAGAGAGGCCACCGTTGACACGAGAGGTGGCACCTGGGGCACAAGGGACGTCCCCTTTGGAACTGGAGGTGGCCCCATGGGGACGAGAGAGGCCACCATTGACACAAGAGAGGCCACCGTTGACGCAAGGGACGTCCCCTTTGGCGTTGGAGATGGCCCCGTGGGGACAAGAGAGGCCACCGTTGACACAAGAGAGGCCACTGTTGACACGAGAGAGGCCACCGTTGACACGAGAGGTGGCACCTGGGGCACAAGGGACGTCCCCTTTGGCGTTGGAGATGGCCCCGTGGGGCCAAGAGACGCCACCGTTGACCAGAGAGGTGGCACCTGGGGCACAAGGGACGTCCCCTTTGGCACTGGAGATGACCCCATGGGGCCAAGAGAGGCCACCACTGCCCCCAGAGATGGCAGCGCTGACACGAGTGACGGCGCCATGGGGCCAAGAGATGCCACCGCTGACACGAGAGGTGGCAGCTGGGGCACAAGGGACGTCCCCTTCGGCACCCCAGATGGTCCCGTGGGGACAAGGAATGTCACCTTTGGCACCAGAAACGGTGCCTGGGACACAAGGGACGTCCCCTTTGGCACCAGAGGTGCCCCCATGGGGACAAGAAAGGCCACCGCTGACGGGAGAGGTGGCACCCTCGGCACCAGAGACGTCCCCGTGGGGACAAGAGAGGTCACCTTTGAGAGGAGAGACGGTGCCCAGGACGCAAGGGACGTCCCCTTTGGCAGCAGAGGTGGCCCCGTGGGGTCAAGAGATGTCACCTTCGGCACGAGGGACGTCCCCTTTGGCAGCAGAGACGTCCCCATGGGCACGAGAGACA